CTCCTGGAGATGGCTGAACACCTCCTGCCTGTGGGAAGCAATGAATTAACGCCTTGTTTTGCTTTGCTTGTGTGTGTAGCTTTTTCTTTCTTTATTAAACTGTCTTTATCTCAACCCATGAGTTTTTCTAGCTTTTACCTTTCTGATTCTCTCCCCCATCCTGTTGGTGGGGCAGTGTGTGAGCAGCTGCATGGGGCTTTTTTGCTAGCTGGGGTTAAACAATGACACCCAGTGACACTGATACAGGACCACAGTGATGTGTTTATGGATGGTTTGACATCAGCAGGTGCTGAGGCTCCAGAGTGTGTCCCTGCTCTCACCCTGGGATGCTCCACAGCACCATCAGGGACCTGCATGGGCTCTGCTGCTGCAAGGCTGGTGCTGGCTGCTTTGGCTCCATGTGCCTTCATCCCCGGGTCCTTCATGAGGTTTCCATGCCTGAAGCCCAGCTCTGGGGCTAGTGTCTAGGCACTCTGCAGGGGGGGGGGCTGAGACAGACCCTGGCTGTCACAGAGATGTCGTGGCATGCTGGGAACTGGGGACTGTTGACAAACTATTGCTATAGGTGTTATTTCCTTTGTTCTCCAGATTACACCAACCTTCCTTCGAGTTTACTCTCGTGGCCTTGTGTTTGCCCTTCCCTCCTCCTTTAGCTCCTTTATCAATCTGCAGCACTTGGTAGGTCTCCAGGAGGATATAATCCCCATCATGTCCAGTGAATTGCAGGTGATAAATGTTTGCCCCACAGCTGGGAGGTTTGGATTACTCTATTTTTCCTCATAAATAAAATCTTAAGGCCTCATTGTTTAATCTTGAGCAAAGAGAAGCCACCAGATGGGCACACAGTGATTGATGCTGTGAGATAAGGTGCTCACACAGAGGAAGTGTGTAGGGACAGTCCCAGGAGTGACATGACAGGAACCAGCATGGAGCTGGGAGCAGTGGGACTGACCAGCAGCACTGCCGCGATGGATGAGTTCTCTTCCTCTTCCTCACAGCTCCTTCCCTGCAGCACTCACAGCTCTGATGGATGCAAGAAGAAATCCAAGCTGAGGGACAGCAGTGGGGACCATGGGAG